ACTACATACTACACACACACATATATATATATATATATATATATATATATATATGTATATATATATATATACATACATACATATATATATATATATATTGAAGGGAAGATCGCACTTAGAAGCAAGATCGAATTTGAACACGGTTTAGTGCATTTAATTATATAATCACGGAGTCGGGCGGTTCGCTTCAATGTGCACTAAAATACTATAATAGAAACAGACATACCTTACGTAGTATATCTACACCGTTCGAGTCAGTATCCCCCGTATATACCACAATCGAAGCGTGCGTATACTGTCGCTGTATCGCACGTACAGCACACCACAGTACACGCTCACCCCCACCCCCTGCATTGCAATACGGATGGAACAACCCGACCATAACGAGGCCCGGATTTCGTCGTTGTCTCTCCTGTCGTTTGGCTTTGCATCGTTGTTTCAAGCGTTTATACTGGTACAAGCAGACAGCCAATATGATGACTGTGAGTGCTGGCAACAAGAGTGCTGCATGGTATAGACCGTCCATAATGAGGTGTCCAAGATGTGCTAAAATACGGTAAGTTATGCTGTATAGCGCCTGCTGTTATACTGTCAGGTTGTCAAGTTATTTACTAATACAGTCAGCAGAGCGTGGTACATTTGAATGAATAGTTGAATACTACAGCAAGCTTTCTAGAAGACTTCATAGAGGAAGTGCGAAGCCGGTGTTCCCCTCTCTCTTAAATAGTTCTCGGCAAGTCGGCAGTCGACAAGAAGTCTGGAATGGTCAATGCATTTTTTAAAAAGATAAAATATGTACATACGAGTGATAAGATGAGCTTATGAGACCGGCATTAGATACCTCGGATTCTAGCTTTCGTATTTGGCTGTCGATTTGAGATTTGAGATTTGGTGTTAAAAAATATATATATACACACTCGCTGCAGTCTGCACTCTGCAGTCTTCTCTCTAAAAAGTTTGTTTTTACTTTTTATTTTATACAATTGGTCATAGTATAATTTTTTTTAAACAACACCCCGAATATGTATGTTTTAGAGGCTCTATGTACTTTTATATATGTTTGTACATAGCCTCCTAATTGTTTTTATATAGGAGGCGATGGTTTGTAGTCTATATAGGTCTCATAAATAGAAGTTAAGCGTAGACATTATATTGCCTCCTGGCAACACAATGTCAGCTGGAAAAAAAGTTGAACGTAAACAGATTTGTTTTGAGTTGCAGAAATATAAACATATTTTTAACGTTTTGATTTTGAGTTAGTTCAGTTGACTGTTCTTTTTAGGTGGCTTTGAGCTGACATTTTTTTTATTAAAAAAAAGTAATGTATTGTTGACATATCTGATATCCCCTAGAGTCACTAAAAAATACATACTTCCTCAAGTTCTTAGCACATAACAACCGTTGCACATGTAATGAAGTGTTAAGTGGTACTGATTGCAATTTTTCAATAGGGAGCGTAGCACCGATGACCACCTTACCTAAACGACGCGTCAGGATAGCGTGCTGCCAATTCTCGGCCGCTCTGGGTGCGTATGAGCGGAATGTGTCGCGAGCCGAGACACTGATGCAAAAGTAAGGACACAGTTTTTGTAGTTCAGTGTATTCGGTATTGTATTTGTGTTCCGATAGGTATTAATAATAAGTTATGAGTGGCTGTGCATATGTGTATCGTATGAGCTACCATATGGCGTACAGCTGAGATTAAAGGCACCCGCTAAGAACTTGATACAGAAGACTGGGTGTGTATTTGTATTTAGTTTGCCAATGTATTTGTATATAGCTGGTTTATGTATTTGTACTTAGATAGGCGCTTCGTATAAAGTGCAATTGATTGTACGTGTGTATCATTGTGCATATAGCTTCTAAAATCGCGCGCTGAGAATAGGATAGGAAAGTATCTGTGTATTTGTATTCGTTGGTTCATGTATTTGTAGTCAGTTGGTATATATATTTACATTTAGATATACGTATCGCATAGGAGGTACTTGATTGTGCGTCTGGGTATCTGTACAAGTAGTGGTTCGAACCATACTGTTTGAGATCGGGTGTTGAGATTTCAATACAGAAGTAGGGGAATGAATCATTTATATCTAGATAAGCGCATCTCATAAGCTGTAAATTGTTGTACGCATGTATATCAGTATTAGTAAAGATATGAAGTATCATAGGATGTACAACTGATGTCAACATACCGCCATGCTTTTAATATTGGCAGACATACTTGGCTGCGTATGCACATAAAAGTAGCTTGTGGCCTATTTGTACAATACCACCTGTCTTTGTTTCAAATAGGCTGGACGATAACATTGATCCAGTCAAAATTACACAGTATAGGTCGAAAGGTTTGTGGTAGGATCTTGAGCACATGAACGCGAGTTTTCCTTGCAATCACAACATTGGAAACTATCCGGAAACACCCGAAAATAGGCTTAGAATGGTTTCCATGGAAACAAGGCAAACGATGGTGTGCACGGGACTGCACTTATCGCATGTGTATACCACAGGCGACAACGCTGCAAACTTTCTACGCCAATGGAGCTTTGCCAATGTAAGACGTTATCATACAGAAAGACAGGTCTAAAGGGATCAAGGTTACCTACTTACCTTGACCCTTTCAGACGTATGCCAAAAATCTTTTGCCCATGGCTGGATTATCTGATTTTACACAAAAATTCTGTTGCAGTTTACATCCGGAAGATGTGGATATGCTTCTCTTACCAGAAATGGCTTTCACCGGTATGTAAGCTTAAAAGTACAGACTCTTAGCCTACATTGCGAATAAATGCTCGGAATTGACCAAAACAGCGACTCCATGAATACTGTAGTGAAACGCACTGCGGTAGCTTCATTAGGCTGAGTTGCCGGTTTAGATTAATACCGAATTAGTTCTCATAGACGTGCCAGACACCATGAATCACCTTCACAGATACACATTATATGAGCATATTCATATGCGTATTGCCAAAGACGTTATGTGATATATAATTATAAATATATGCGAGTATACGTACTTCTTAATCACGCTCCCAGTTGCATATGAAATCTACCACCGTGGACAGGGTATTCTTTCACTGAGGCTTCGCAGGTGCACGCGTTAGCCGAGGACAAGAACAGCGGACGTACTGTACAATGGGCTAAACAGCAGGCTGTGCGTTTGAATGCATATGTCATAGTCGGGTATCCCAGGGTTGAAGTATCTGCAGGTAATGTCGCTTCGCGTATATTCCCTTCTAAACAATGTAGCGAGATTGGTTTATTCAGAATTATAATATAGTTGAGTACACGTATCGTCATCAAATCTATTCCGAATCCGTTTCTGATCGCAGATGGTGATTCAACGTACTATAACAGTATGTGTGTGATAAATACCGCGGGAGTGCTGATAGAAACATATGACAAGACGCATCTCTACGAGACCGACGAGAAATGGGCTACAGAAGGGGTTGGATTCCAATATATTGACACAGTGGTGAGTTGCAATCTCAAGGCGAATCTGTAGACGTAAGGTCTGGTGTTGTGAGACCTACTTCTCGACAATCCTGCCAACTACTAATCAACGATCCCATCTGTGGATTCTTTAGGAATTTGGACGGGTGGGTCTGGCGATTTGCATGGATATCAATCCGTATCGGTTCACAGCACCGTTCGAAGACTACGAACTGGCGAACTACATGCGGACCAAACAAGTCAATCTGATTGTCTTAATCGCCAATTGGCTAGATAGCGAGGTAATTGATTTGGGGGGTATATCCGTATGTATATGTCTTGGGCCGACGTAGAATATTACACGCACACACACCTATAATAACCTGCTATCGTATCTCTGCTCTCTGTTGTGGGCTTGTATTCGAGGATGGCTGGTCTCGAGCTGCTGTCATGCGTATATGTCGTACTAGATAGTTGGTGCCAGAGTTTTACGTCTTGCACGGTAGCAAAGACCGATTTATTGGCAAACTACAAACAGTTAACGTATTTTGCAAATCCAATTGTAATTGATTCGCGTCATAAAGCTGACCATTATTGATTGTGTATGTTGGGATTTAAGGTCAGTCGTAGTCTTCTCTAGAAGGCTATATTTGATCGCAATAAAGTTTTTCGTGTGGTGTACTTATGTAGTATACACGTAATAAGGCAGAGTCGAATTCGCTTGCTTGGCGCGCATCTATAAGTATCGGTACAGCACGTTGATAGACCGGGAATCTCATTGCTCCTATGACGTGGCATTCACTCTCACACTGCACACACATCTTAGCCGGTCACTGTGTATATCTGCCGCACAGCGTCGCAGTATACGTTGCATTTCAGTACGCTTATAAGCAGAGCCACCCCCAAGTGTCTCTATTTCTGATATGTATCACATCCCCACTTTTCTTTGGGCCTTTCAGCCCGAGTCCGATGATTCGCGGGGCGTTCCGAACTATTGGGTACATCGGTTAAAGCCGGTGCTCTACACCGACACTGTGTTTATCGTCTGTAATCGTTCGGGCCGGGAGGAAACCAATGCCATCTACACGGGGTGCAGTGCGTGTATATCCCTGAAAGAGCCTATGTTGTTGGTAAGTGTATTGCCAATTCTGATGTTTAATTCAACTGCTGTGTTGAACAAGCGTGCTTAGGAACTACTTTGGAGGTGTCCACTTTGAGATACACTGCGAGGACAACGATAGGGCGATTCAGATTTGAGTGTCGGCAGACGCAGAATTTGTATTGGAAGTAGTTTTATCCGCGAGATTTGTGTCTTCGTTTGCAAACGAATGCTACTTCACGGGGGTAGCGGAATGATGCGCAAAACATAACAGACAAAGACATTCGTAGTACATTAAACCCACTGTATCCGTTGTAAAAACCGTTATTTCACTTTACAGGGCCAATTGAATAAGAGACAAGAGAATATACTTCTTGTAGAGCTCAGCGTCCCCGATCGCATGCCGAGTAGCAACGCAAAAGGAACTGCTCGAACACTGGTGGCAACCGCTGCAACTTGATATTCCAACCCTGTACCTTGTATCTGCACGAGGTGTGCTTGTCAAACTGACCCCCCATGCTTGCATTTTCGCATGTTTCGCATGTATCTCGAACTTCTTGATGAAATACCGACACCAAGAAAGCCTGAGTATTGCGGCTAAAGTTCCAGGATAAGGTTATGGATTAAGTGATATAGTTTTCCAGTGCCATGCGTTGTAAGTGGTGACTGATGTTACTGTATCCTCACATGCGAGATTACCATGATTGTTGTTGGCAAACTCTTAGATGAATACGGGATACACATCAGCATAGTAATCTTCATATTCATTAGCAAACCGATAGTCAATGTATGACCCTATAGCAGTCACCCGAAATCTTCGATATCATTGATCTAGCTTATGTAGTATGTTCAGTGTAGTATGATTTAACAGGTGGCCTCGGTTCTTCGCTCCGTCGCGGGTCAAGGGTTGCAATTTGAAACACTCATGCATTCCCGAGTACATACAAATCATATTGGGTTTACCTCAGACCCAATTGCCCAGCAAATACATGCCGAAGTCAAAAAATAATCGGTTGTTGGTTCAACGGAACGAAGTCGCTGCTTAGTCTAGATAAAGCAATATCCTTGCTAGATCACCCGAGCGGCTTCTATTATATAACCAGCGAGGTGCTGGCAGCAACGTCACCACCATAAAAGCGAAAGGAGCGTCCTTTTCATATCGGTGCAAATAAATCCAGATTGTCAGACGATAGTGCAAGAAGATTGAATCCGTTGTGGTATACACTTTGTATCGACATATAGTGGCACGAATTTTGGCTACTCTCACTCTCAGGTAGACTTTCGCTGCTCATAAAATTTCATGCGCTACTAGTTTGGCAAATCACAACTGCTCGATATTTGTCGCGTAGTCAGTTGTGGAAGGGTATTCGGAAATGCGTTATTATAGACTGACTATTCATTAGGTTCGAAGTCTTCGATGTTCCCGATAAATTTCAAAAAAAAAGTCTAAAAATTAGAATTTCGCTAAAGTACATCAATAGCTACTATGTACTTAATTTTGGAATTAAACAGAAAACAGCTAGTAGAGATAAAGAAATTTACTTAATTTTCTCCCTGTCGACTAGTGGAAAAATTTATAATCAGACAGCGCGAGTTGGGATAACTTTATTATGTCGTGGTATTCCACAAAACATTCGATTAATTGAAGGCGACGGATCTTCCAGTATGCTACACCAAAGTTTTCCAGCGTAATTTTTTACATGCCCCAGCTCTTATGCCTTTTCTGTAGCGAAAATGGCTTCTTCGATCATCAATTTCGCTGTCGATGGATTGTCCTCATCCTCGTCTGTGAGTTTCGGCTCAGGCATGATACCTCTGCATATATTCTGGCAATCCTGTGAATGATTTGTCGCGGAAGGTAAATAATCTTTTGAGTAACCTCTTAGGATAAACCTATATACTTTACAGCTGATCCACTATACTATTCATAAGACCGTAGTAACAAGCATCGCTAACATCCCAGCTCGAAGCTGCGTCAAATACAGAACAAGCGTAGAAATGAGAGCGTGATTTGGAATGTAAAAAGTCCTTTCACGGCGTATGCACAGTCATACATAGAGTGAGATGTTCAACACGGTATAGATTCATCGAAAAGGCAAAGGGAACGAGAATCAGCTACACTCCCTTATACCATACTCCTTTAGATATTTTTTTATGGCATATCCTGGTCAAAAAGCCGGCGTACGCAGAAGATAATTTAACAAGACACATATATGCCTATATTACAATCAATGCCAACAGCATACATACCACTCCATTAAGTATGTGAAACTTCTTTCTGTTGACGACGAACTGTAAAATATCGCCACTGTCATCCAGTACCGGAGTTATCGTGGTGTCGCAACAGAATGCCTGACCTGAAGCGCGCGCGAAAGATGCGTTCAAAGTACACGTGCCAGTGAGTGAAATAGCGAATATTTTGAACACCCTTGTGCAACGGCGGCATGCATCGAATGCAGTCAAGTCAATAAAAGGTGATATCATGTACACTTAGCATTCAACTTCCAGTAGAGCGCTCTAGTTCAGATTTGATCGCCCGACAAACGAAAGTGAGTTCAAAACGCTTGCAGCTGACAAACAGTAAAGGTCGCAATAAAAGCCATTCACATGTATTTACCCAACAAGCGGCCCCTTCCCCCCTATAAATATCCAGATGTGCACAAACAACTGCTACTTAACAACCAAATTGCACGTACCATCTTTTCGCTTCGACAGGATGAGACCACGCCACACTTGTTTTTTTCTCATGGTCTCGTGTATCTCCATCGACCTCTTCAGCATCAACTCTGTAGTCAGCAATCGCATCAGAAAATGAATATCAAAGGATTTGCATTCTGGCAAAAACGACCAGGTGCCAGTAGAGCCAACTTTGTGCCGTGCATTACATCTCCATTGAAACGCTCGCTGTATCGGCAAGCCTCATAACAACGAATGGGTATGATAAAAGACTCAAATAACGCACATACCACAATTCCTACACGATGAGATATCCTTGAACGTCTTTCCGAGCACTTCGCTCCTAGAGTAACCGAGAAACACCTCCCACATGTGATCTACGAATATGTACGTGAAGTCCTTCGACAGAATCTCAACAGTGATGATGTTCCCCATATTCATGGTATTCATCGATTTCATATGTTTCCTACAAGGGAGAAGGAACAATGTGATTTTTATGATGAAAAAATCGATATCACAGCAGCCATTGGAATATACTGGCCTGCAAACCAAAATAGCAAACTCTTCGTATTTAGTTTGTATACCCATAACGTAGTCTAGATACACACACGAGCTTATATACACAAAGGTAGCTGGCACAAGCACATACAAATGCAGCGCAGCCAGCTCGCTCTTCAGCTTTTCATGCTCTAACCGCAGTTCGACATTAGTCTTCTGGGTATCGTGCACAAACTCGGTGGCCTTCTTGATGATATGCGCTTTGGAAGGGTTCTTGACATTCACGAGTGTAGGCACAGTTGTGGCCAGCTCATTGATGCTATCCTTGAGACGTGTGCGACTGCGTTGCTCCGAAGCTTTGTGCGATTCAGTTCGGTACTGTTCCTCCTTGACCGACCCGTCCCCGTCCCCGTCCCCTTGTGCCGATTGTCTGGCGCTTCTACAAAATGAAGGAAAACAAAGAGTTAAATCACGGAATTGGAGATTTTGTCGCTTGCAAAAGCAGTCGATGGTTATTTGCCGTGAGCGTAGAACAAAGTATCATATAAAACGCTGCCGGACCACACACAGAGCGAAGTTTCGTTTGACGGCACAATAGTAAGTAGGGTACACCCAATTCATACAATAACGCAACGCATTGTGCGGTTTGTCTGCGAAGTAGTCCGAGAATACCACGTCAACGCTCTAGCACATTTTTTTGTACTATAAACACATTTTCGTTTTGAATCATATATGATAATACGGTCATACAAGGCAACATACGAACACTACAAATTGCTTTGACTCGCTCATTTGTACAGAAAATATAACTTACGTTTTACCGTCCAGGCTCTTGGATGACTTTCGCCCCGTGACAGTCGGTTTCACGTCAGAAGTAGTGTGGGCTACTCCCGAACTACGAGAGTGACAGGAAAAGTATAACTAAATTTTTCTACACTGGATGAGAGTGGCGGATGTGGTATACCAAAATGTGAGATCGGCCGAGACTTGAGACTAAATAACGCCATGACAGCGAGCACGCACAGCTAGACATATACAGCACCGCAAACAGTGTGGAACATGCCAATTATAGCCAACAAACTTGAAGCATGTCTTGAAAAATTCGAATTCGCTTTTCACAAACGACAAACGTCGATGTCGGTGACATACCCCTTTGCGACAGGCGATACGGAATTCTTTAAGTCAGGCACCGAAGAGTCTCTAGAGAATCCGCCAAGTTCAAGCGAGGCTTGGCTGCCTTGGCCCCTTGACTGAGGATGCTGCAGTTGCTGTGGTATCGAATCACTCCTCGGCACACCCATGTAGCTACCGGCACCTACAGATAGGCTAGGGGATGCCTGCTGGTTCAACGCTGTCGTGATGAGTAGTTGGGGTGTTGTTCGGAGTATCAGTCAAACTAGATTTTATATGTACGCACAGCCGGGTAGTTTGTTGCAGTACAGAAGGGCTTACATTTACAGTCAAGCTTATAAGATGAGCACCCGCCACTCGTCCTGAAAGTCTGCAATCTTCACATGCCTGCTGGTAGGTATCGTACCCGCCTAAAAGGATGCTAACGAAGCTACGCGTATTCATCTACGTATATCAGTTGCACGGTGCTAGTAGCTAACAGTCGTCGGTGAAAAAGACATCAAAAATGAACACAAATGCTGGCCTCTGCACATACATTTTTTTCACTCATCAGCTCTGCCTGAATTTTCCTGCGAAGTGAGAGTCCACAAAAAATTAAACGCTCTTATTACATATCGAATCTGAACACCAAATTTACAAGAAGACAAAACCACACCACTTTAATCAAGGTACAATACAGAATACTATAAAAACTAGCTTTGCACGACACGAAACTGCAACGACAACATCTGGCGGGCCCTCACACACCTTGCAAGTCAGCATATCCCAGAGTACCAGCGCCATTCGTCCTTGTAGAGTATCGGGCCCCAAAATGCGACTGCATACTGTTTGGGTCCACGAGCGAAGTTCTCGAGTGAGTGAGGGGATGGTTGTCGTCGATAGATACACGGCTCTTAGTTGCTGGGTGGACGAAGTTTGACTGAATTTGGTTTTGGTTTGAAGTCTGATGATTCAGACCCTGATCTTGGCTGCTATTGAAGGGTGAATGGTAGACTGGAGATCCGTACTCGTAGCCGGCCGGCAATGAATCGCCTGTAGGGTTACAGGGTAGGTCAATACTGAGCGGCTCATTTAAAGTACTTGTCGGTGTCTAATTCAAAACATAAAATGTCTGTAATCAGGAGCCCTAGATACATTGATTTCCAGGTCACGATCACAATTAGAATCATATATGAAAAGCGTAGACATTCAGTATTAATAAATATTACCATCAGCAGAAAAGAAAGGACACTGCGATGGTTAAAGCATATAATCCTATGCACAATGTAGTGGAAATTGAGTGAGCTTGCAAACAGTCCCGTCGATCATAATTGTTCAAATTTGCTCATAACATTATGAATTGCCGCATCTCGTCACCCGCAAATGCACTCGAGCATATCGCCCGGGTGAGGAATATATATTTTAGGAAGCACACCCGAACTTATAAATTCACAACATGTAGGTACACGGTATTTCATACATGAGCAGAAGGAGGGACAGCTGAGCAGTTACCGTTTTGACTGAAGTTGGAAGATTTTGATCCGGTCACGCTACGCTTGCCGTCGGATGCTACGAGGCCCATCGAATTACTTGTGTAAGGTTCTTGAAGGATGATCTCTGGCGACGAAAATTATGCGGACGGTTTCAAGAATTTCAGTACTTTTAAATCCCAAGATACTCCTCGTGAAGTTAATATGGGATGCACTCAAACTAAACAGTGCTTACTGCGAGAAAATTCTCACGTTGCGATGAAACTGCAAAACGTTGAAATGCTAATACAGTACAGGCTCAAATTACCTGACGGAGACTGGTACAAAAAAAAGAGAGCGAGGGAACAAGCACACGCTTAGAGGATGATAAGACCAAGTTAAAGTGATTTAAAAATACATACGGCCAAGTTGACTGGCGTTGGTCGGGCGCTGATTATTGATGGACGTATCCGGGAATAGGGACGGCGAGTTAGGCAGCATCTGCATACTCAGATCTATGTGCGGTATACCCCCCTGCAGGTTGTCAAAGAGCCTCTTTAATTGGGGGTCGACAACCCTATCATCACTGGCTAATTCATCAGGCATTTTCTCCATCATGCGTGTGATGTAGTTGGCGTTCTCCCCGCCAATTGACGGTGGTAGAATGCCATACTTCGCCTTCTTGCCCAGCATGTGCTCCCTACCGACTGACTCCCATTCTTCAAGCTTGCGCTTGACCGTGTCAGTGGCGCGAGGGTGCGGCGGAAGATTTTGCGCGTATATGTCTGTGAGCAGGCTACAGGGCACGAAATAGACGGAATAAAGAAAAATGAATGAGAATCTGTGTATGTACGTCATCAAAATGAAAACACCTATATGTTCGCCACCATGCCAGATGGACTTGAGCATTGAACTTCCAAAATCTCAAGTGTTGATGTAACACAAACAGCACGGACAAATAGAGTGATTCCTATATACGTGCCTAAAACTTCAACTAAAACTTACATATGAAACAAACAAATATGCAAACGCAAACACATGTACGCGCACAACTACTAAGACCAAGAGAGAAAGAAACGATATACGACGCAACGGCGTATCCACTCCATGTATATATATA